ACATTGAGAAAAATAAATATATTGTTTTTTTACATTATCGCTATTGTTATTGTCATGGGCTAAAATGACTTCATAGACAAACAAGTTTATAAATCTCGGCCGATAGAAATTAAGCCACTATATAATAAGGTAAGTTTAGTTTAAGTCTCATTAGTTCTTTAAGTTATAAAAAGGACGTAACTTGGGTAAGGTTGGTTACGACACTTATGTGCGAGGAAGGGGCACATAAGCTCACTAACTCGATAATAATTTCCTTATATTATATGATCCAAATCACCAACGTCAGTCACGCCTCTGGAGAGTTGCCTTATCACCTAAAGTCTATATTTTATAGTATAGATTATCGAACGTACGAATCACCCCGTAACATTATTAAAATATTAACCATTATTATAATCGGATTAGGATATCTGCAAAAAGGATAACGGATAATCAGATCCGCTTTAATACTGTAGTATCAGATTCGGATATATCCGTTTAAAAAATATTTACGTTAAATCCGGATATAGTCATCCGGATCACTACTCTAAAAAATAACAAAAAGAAAGTTTTTCAGAGTTTGTCGGATAACCTACTTTAATTAGACAGATCGACCCTGAGTCAGCGTGGGAAGTTTGTGCTACGAGGATGGTTTAACGTAACACAAGTTATGATGCTTTTACGTACGTACGACATTCAAATATAAATGTACTTCAAAACTTCTAACAATTAATCAATTAAATAAAACATGGAAACATTACAGAACGAATGCCTTTATGAAATATTTAATCACCTTCGAACATATCATAAAAGCTTATTTTCATGCCTTCTAGTAAACCGACTATGGTGTAGAATTATTGTACCAATATTATGGAGTGAGCCGGGTGCTCACATTCAAGATAAAAGACTTTTAAAGATATGTCTTTCAGCATTAAATGCTGAAGAACAAGCTTTATTAATCCCATTTAATATTACTCTTCCAAAAAATACAAAGATATTATTTGATTATACAAGTTATATTACATCTGTTAATTGTAATTATTTATACGGTGGAATTCATAAATATTATTATGGATTGGTATCTGAGGGTTATTGTATAATAAAAAATGCAATGGTATTTTCTTTGGCTCTAATGTTTTTACGATCTAGTAAAGGACTTAAATATTTAGATTTTAGAGGATACATTCATAATGAAACCATGTTTGTAGAAAGGCTTGGTAAAAGCACAGCTGTCGTTTCCCTAAATTTATTGTGCTTTGATATTAAAGATAAGACCTTGGATGATATTCTCAATAAATGTATCACTCTGACCTCATTAACTATTAGACACAATCAACTTGGCCCTGAGAGAGCTAAAGCATTAGCAAGAACTCTTTGTGCAAGCAATACAACTCTAACTTCTCTAGATCTTCAGAATCACCAACTTCATTCTGAAGGTGGAAAAGCATTAGCAGAAGTTCTCTGCAAAAATACCACTATAACTTCATTAAATATTTCTCATAATAAGATCGGTTGTGAAGGTGGAAAAGCACTAGCAAAAGCACTTTACATAAATACTACTCTAAATTCTTTAGACCTTTGCTCGAATGAACTTGGTACGGAATGTGGCAAAGCGTTAGCGGAAGCCCTATGCAAGAATACAACTTTGACTTCTTTAAAGCTTGAAAATAATCAACTTGATTCTGAAGCAGGAAAAGCATTGGCAAAGTCACTTTACATAAATACTATTTTAAATTCTTTGAATATTCGCCTTAATAATCTTGGCTCTGAAGGTGGGAAAGCGTTAGCAGAGGCTTTATGTAAGAATTCAACCTTGACTTCTTTAAATCTTGCAAGTAATCAAGTTGATTCTGAAGCAGGGAAAGCTTTTGCAGAGTCTCTTTATGTAAATACTACTCTAACTTGTTTAAATCTTTGCCATAATCGACTTGGCTCTGAGTGTGGGAAATCGTTAGCAGATGCTCTATGCAAGAATCATACTCTGACTTCTTTAAATCTTGCAAATAATCAACTTGGAACTGAAGGAGTGAAAGCATTTTCAGAGTCTCTTTATGTAAATACTGCTCTAACCTGTTTAGATCTTTACAATAATCAAATTGGCTCTGAGGGTGTGAAAGCGTTAGCAGGGGCTCTATGCAAGAATCATGCTCTGACTTCTTTAAGTCTTGGAAATAATCAACTTGATTCTGAAGCAGGGAAAGCATTGACAGAGTCTCTTTGTGTAAATACTACTTTAACTTCTTTATCTCTTTACAATAATCAACTTGGTTCTGAGGGTGGGAAAGCGTTAGCAGAGGCTCTATGCAAGAATCATACTTTGACTTCTTTAGATCTTCACAATAATCTACTTGGTTCTGATGCAGGGAAAGCATTGGCAGAGTCTCTTTATGTAAATACTACTCTAACTTCTTTACATCTTTATGATAATCGACTTGGTTCTGAGGGTGGGAAAGCGTTAGCAGAGGCTCTATGCAAGAATCATACTCTGACTTTTTTAAGTCTTGGGTGTAATCAACTTGATTCCGAAGTAGGGAAAGCATTGGCAGAGTCACTTTATTTAAATACTACTCTAAATAGATTAAATATTGCGAATAATCAACTTGGTTCTGAAGGTGGGAAAGCATTAGCAGAGTCTTTATATAAAAATACTTCTCTGTATTATTTATTTTTTGATAATAATGACATTGGCCCTGACGTGGAAAAAACATTAAAAGAGGCCCTACTAAGATGACGAAACCTTTTCGTCAGGTGACTTCAATTTGATATTTGATGAATGACATAACTTACCGTATTTTTGTGGAATAACATGCAGGGGTATAATTTTGAATTTTGGCCTAAATTAAGTTTAATTCTCCCAATTTTTGTAATCTATGGTATGTAAAAGTATTACTGAAATGAAGATCGGTAAGAGCATAAATTCTTGATATTGCAATATCTATAGCAAATTCCCTATTAATAATATCTATTATAGTTTGTAATTATATAAGTTTTTTTGTGTTTTTGTATTATATCTTAAATTACAATAGATGCAGAAAAATATTAATATATTGAACTATTATTAATTAGTTGGTTTTATATAAACAAATATTTTCGATTCAATAATTGTTAAAAATTTTTTGGTTTCATTGTGTTGATATTCCATCAGTTTTTTAGCAAATTTATTCAGTGCTAATTTAGCATTTTTTTCAGTCTTTATTTTTTTGTTATTTATTAATTCAGCAAATATTGGTGGCTTGATATCCCTAAATATTGGTTTCCTTTGACCTAATTCATCATTTATAACTGTATTAGAAATATGCATTTTTATTAAACTTTGCAATTCAAAGTATGTCAATATTGATAATGTAGGTTTACGTAGTACTTCAGATATTAGTGTTATGTACTATACATACATAATATACACTTTCATATTTTAGAAAAACTTTCACTTAACTCATCAAGTAATAAATATTTAGTTGACAAAAGAATTACTAGAATATGAAAATATTCAAAGTGACTAGAAAATTCTATTCACCAGATGCATATTAAATTTTACTCATATAATGATTTCTCTATTTTTTAAAAAATGGTGATGGGGATTCGGAACAGTGTACAGATCAAAGTAAAATCCAGTGAATTAATAATTGCACTTAAAAAATTAAAAGATTATTTGGATCAAAAAATTTTCTTATTCACAGTAGCAAATTTATTACTGTATTAGATTTAGTGCTAGTAATATTTTAAAATAATAATATTTATTATATATTATGAATATAGCACAAAAGCTGTATCACCTTAGTTGGCAATTGATGAATTTTTTTTCAGGTGTCTTCATCCACCAAATTATTGCTTTATAAGTATTTAAGTTTTTTTTAAATTTCATATCTATTATATTTTTTCATAATTCCATAAATTAGTATTGATCTTTAATTTTGTCTAAATTTATATTGATATTATAATTTTGCCTAAAATTATATTTTAAATTTGTCTAAATTTATATTTTAAATTTGTCTAAATTTATATTTTAGCTTTCTCCAGAATTATACTTAATTTGTATTTGATTTTCACTCTTACTCATCATTTGTATAACTTTGATTTTTAATCTTATATTGATCTACAACTTTTCTAGCTATTATTAATACTTGAGACTTGTTTTTAGCAAAATAATGCAAAGAAAAAGGGGTAGTGATTTAGATATTAAGTATGTGGTAGTCTTTTAATTTAAAAAAATATCTCATGCTAACTTTGATATTGCTTAAAAGTCACTGCAAAAGAATAGAAAGAATGGCAAAGGTTTTGAAGATAGAATTAGAATTATTTTTATGAACTTGTATATAGAATTATGTAAATTTGAGTAAGTATTCACTGAGTCATTGTCTAGCTGCCACTAGATGTAAATTATAAGAATGAAAGCTTATCGTGGCCATAATCATGTGGTCAACATGGTTATGAACGTTTTTCTCATGTTATCAAAAAGCCATCTATGGAGTTTCTCTAGTAATGTAGTAAATAGGATACATGAATCAAGAATTAAAAGCTCTTCATGGCCTAATCAAATATGATTATAAATGTTCTTCTTGATTCTTGACGATAATGAAGATAAATACTCAATTTTTTTTATTTTGTTTAATCTAATAGACATGCACCAGGTGACGGAGGTATCGATTGGATAGGAGGCTGGAAAGGATATACAATAATTGTTCAATGCAAGGTATAGCAGGTGATATAATAATGATCATTAATCAAATTTTTTAATAATTAGCGATAGAAATCATTAATAAAATTTTTTTTATATAATAAGTGATAGTTAAATTGTGATATATCTTGAATTAATAAATAAAATACATTTATTGGTGTAAAATCTTCTTTTAATGTGTTTTTAAATATTATTATCACTAATTATAAAAAAATTGATTAATGATCATTACTATACACACCCCAAAGACATATAATCTAATCTAATCAATTTTAAATTTATTTTATAATATTAAATTTTTATTTTATTTTATAACAATTAGGATTGTGATAAAATTAGGCCTAAGATGGTGCATGAATTTGAAGGTGTATTGTCAAGATTCGGTAAAATGAAAACAATCGGTATCTTAATAGTTCTATCAAAGAATAATTTTATTAAGAAATTATTAGATAGAGTGGAATTGTCTGAATTCAATCTTATCCTTACAGATGAACAGTATTTGAGATTAGATCTGATTCAATTTGTTAAGAGTAAACGAATTGAATCAACTCAATATAATGAAGAGTTGATTTGACAAATTGAACTCCTAGAACAGAATGAAAACTCTAACAAATTTAGAATCATAAATATCATACTTTTATTATATATTTCTTTTATTTTAACTTGTATATATTTTAAATTATAATTTTTATTTGTATAATTTTTGATAACAATTTATATCAAAATGAAAATTTGAAGAAAATCTTTATTCTCTGATTATTAAATGAAATCAATATAAAGAATTTTGGCATACTTGGAAATAGATTAAATAATTTAATTCAATCGATCCATTATTAACTGACAAATAGTGCCAACAGTAACGTTGAAATTATTTTAAATTTCTCTATAAATTTTATCAGATTAAATAAAGGATAGGTGACACTTCTAGCAAAGTTTCCAAGGAAGAAGAATTAGTGTTCACATAATCGCGAAATGTAACGCAGCACCACTTAATGTGACCAATCAGAATTGTGCAATTTGACCAAAATTACCATTGACTTGAGATCAAAAAAATCGGCCCAAATCTTAAAAATTTTTTAATTGAATATTCAAGCTTTGACTGATAACCTTTGTTGTTTATTACAGGATAAACTTTGTGAGGCAACTGTACTTACTGTATTTGTATAATTGCCTACCGGTAGATATTTACCAAAAAAAGATAATTTTTATCACTGGACATGTTATGATTCGGAATTTTAAACAGAAATTATGACCTTTTAAATTTTCATTTATTTTTGAAATAAGTTAATTTTGAAACCAACCATACTTCAACTTCAACCAGTTCTCTAACATACAGTCAAAGTTCGTCACTAAACACCGATCCAGCCTTGATCTGTAATCCAATTATTCGAATCTAATCCGTATTTTGTGTAAACCATATTACGTATTACACAATACTGATACGTAATCTCTTTTTTTCAACATAAATATGCGAATATGCGAGTAGCAGATCATACTTTGAATTATAATTAGTAATACTGTATTCCAAAAGTTATTTTATTTAGTTGTTTTTACTTTAACGTTAATAATGAGCACAAAGAGTGCAGAGCTTTACAATCTAGGCTGTAAATACTTGTACAGCTTCCACGTCTCAAAACAAGATGAACATATAGCATTCATTTATTATCAAAAATCAGCACAGATGGGCCATATTAATGGAATATGTATGGTGTCACGGGCAGAATAAATCGTGACCACCTAAAATGTGACCCCAAACGACGATTGAGTCCCAGATTGGTGAACGATCTGCGATTATGGCGCAACAACGATGCCTCGGGCTTTGGCATTTACGATTAACCTAAA